GAATGTATATGTAAACAATATATTCAAGAGTCGGACCTCTCCTTCTCTCGCGTCAATATTTCTCTCATTTAATTTTCTCTCACATCTCTCTCCCTCTCAACTTTCCTCCTCCTTGCTCATGTATTGATTTTAGAAGTTCAAACTCTTCGTCTTCATCTCCTATCAATGACTCTCTATCTTTATCTCTTTCACTTTCTGTCTTTCTCCTCACTCTTTAATTTCCTCTCTATGTATCTCTCATTAACTGTCAATGCTCTATCTCTTTATACATATTTCTCACTACTTAATTTTCTCTATGTAGGTCTATTAATTTAACTTGTAGAATTTTTTCTTTCGAAAATATGTGAACTTAGACGCTACATGTAGCCATTATCATTTCATTTATTACTTGTTTATGGGTTCAATATTGATAGATCATGCTTTTTCTTACAGGTTCCTAATGCTGCTTTGGATATTATGGCCTTAAGTTGAAGTGATGCTTAAAGTGCTTTTGTCCAATTCGTCAAGATTGCACTGATTTTAATTTTCTCTCTCGCCTTTTTGGAAGGAGGGTGACAATTATTTTATTAATTGAAACCCTAAAGTACAATTGTGAGCAAGAGATATCAGTATAGCATGTCGACACAACTAGTAAGTAAAAATGGGTAATGAAATAGAGGAGCGCCATGTTCCTTGGCTAAAACATCCCATATCACCAGCACTTTGAGGCACATGAAACAATTTACTTGCCAATAAGCAGATAACTCAGTAACTTGCGCATAACTCAGTAACTTATTCCATTAAGCGGGTAACCCTCAAATGAAGCTTAAATGAGTTTTAATTATTACAAACTTGCTAGAATACATATGCCTATGGAAAAATGGTTGTGCACATAATTTATCTGGAGTCGTTTTGTACTTTGATAAATAAATGATACTTTTCGAGATAGAAAAGGGACTTCTTGAAATGAACTCAAGTTACAAAACAAAGCCCATAACTTGTACAATGTGTCATAGGAAATGACTAATTATACAAGCCTATAACTTGTATAATGTATAATAGGAAACTTGTTTGGGATTACAGTTTCTTTTTTTTTAATTTCATTAGTGATGGTTTGAGGATAAGGACTCGTTCTAGATGGGGTCACAAGGAAATGCATCCTTGATGAATGAGCTGTATTCCAGTTTCATAATTGGATTGGTCCACTGTGGGATTTGCGCCTGGGACATGGTGCTGCAAATGTCAACATGCTAGCCATCACCTGCGAGGTCCTTGCATCAAAATTATCATCTTGGGTGCAATCAAGTTTAACTTCTGTTGTTTTCAATTACTTTAGAATTTGTTGCTTCAGCAATTATGAAATAATGGTGTTGTGTCATGAGTATAGGAGATGTATCTGAAAGACACATGATTTCTTGAATCTGAAGTGTAAATTATCAAACTAGTTATTGAATCTCAAGTGTAAATTATCCTGTATTTTCTTCATGGAGTTGCTATTTGATGAATTTGCTAAAAAATGCTGCCTATATTAATTTTTTGTTGTCATGAAAATTCTTTTTGAAGGCCCTTAATTGCCAAAAAAAAGTAATACAAGCTCTTGCATCCTACCGCGATTTCACATTTGCTGCAACTGGGAATGAGATTGCAATTTTCAAGTGTGCTCATAAGGTTTGCAAACTATCTTACCATGTTTAAATGGCCTCCTTTTAGCATTCATGGCTTGATATGTCTGAATCATGCTGGACAATAATGACTTTCCTACTTGGGCAAATCTTCTGTATGTAATTGATCAACAAAATAGCATCTTCCACATACTGGAATTTTATCCCATCCTTGAATTGATAACACACCCATAACTTATTCTCTTTTCAATTTCTAGGAGTTTTAGTGCGATGGTCATATTGGGGCTTTGGTCAAGCCACCTTTCTAACCTCCCTTGTGCAAGCTTTGCTTTATAGTGCAATTCTTATTTGTTCAATGTCATGTGGTATTAGTAATGCATCTCCTGGATGCCGTCCACACCACAGAACACTTCTAAATCATGCAACAATATTTTAAGAGTTCTAGTTTAATATATGGTTCTTTGGACTATATTTTCTATGCCTTTTTCATCGATTTAATTATTCCTGATTTGATGCAATTAACTCTGCTTTCGTCAGGTGGCCACTTGGAGCAAGCATAACAAAGAGGTTAATATGCTGCTCTTGTTTGGTGACCATATTCTGAGCCTGGACATTCGAGGTAATCTTTACATATGGGCATTTAAAGACCTTGAAAATAGTGATGCCCCAGTAAGGCATATCCAGCTGGAACAAAATTTTTCTCTAAGTTGCATCATGCATCCAGACACTTATCTGAACAAGGTAACCTCTTGTATCATTTTTCTGTAGTATATATGAAGGGGGGAGTTAGCTTGTGATCTCCACCACATGCAAGCCCATTGTGGCTCCTCAAAATCCAATTTTTTGATGATCGAGAACCCAAAAATCACTCTATGCCCCTGCAACTCCATTTCCAATGACAATAATGGAATATTTGGATCTCCTAAACAATTGCAAATTTGACTGCTCTTGGGTCAATTGAAATGGACGATCCATTCGCATGTTTTGATGGCATCTAGGATGGAGCATTTTTAGGACTCCAAATCCATTTTTTTCTCCGAATTTTCTTCATGGGTGGAAAAACAAATGGATTTGCAGATATTTGGTCCCCCGGCACCCAAAATGTGAAGAAATTATAGGGCACACGCTATTTCATTTATGATCCCCCACAACGGCAAATACTTTTCCATATCTAAATTCATGGTTGCCCTTATTACTTTTTTCTGACCCCTAAAGCACATTATTATGTTCAGTTTGTCATATGAATGGTTGTCGCAAATTATTTTGTAAGAGAGGACCTTTTGACGTGTTGTGGAAGAATAGTGGTGTATAGGTTGTTATTAGGAGCAATGAAGGTTTCTTGCAGCTTTGTAACTAAGCTCAAAGAAGAAAATTTACTATTATAGTATTGTCAAATATTTACATAATGTATTTTCCTTTAAAAGAACTAAGACAGACAACTTCCATTTGGATCCAGATTGTTGAATATAACCCTATTAGCCTTTTGAACTGGATCTAATTCCTGTGGATTCATTTATACCCAGTGTTCAAAAACGCAGACCGCTCAGCGCCTAGGTGGCCGCCTAGGCTAACAAACTGGGCAGCTATCCCTGGGCGGCCGCCTAGGCGGGCGCCCAGCACCCAGCCCTGGGCGGCCGCCCAGGGCCTGCGTCTCTCCTAGGGGCAGAACGTTTTATTATTTTTAGTTGTATTGATTTTTTTTGAAATATAAAGGGTTTGAAGGATGGGTTTTAGGTTCATTTCAAACCTAAACCCACAAGAACCTATTTTAGAGAGAAAGAAACCTCAAGAAAACTAAATTTTGTGACTTTCATTGGATCGAAGTGTTTCTCAAAGTTACGGAAAACGGATCCAAATATCACCGGATAGATTTGATTTAGTTTTGGAGTTTTATAGCCCTATTAGAGGGTGTTTTTTATTATGTTAGCACCAGAAAACATCTCAAAGGTGAGAGTTTGAAGTTCGAGCAATAAAAGTAAGTGTAAAAATTTAGTTTTTAGATTGCTTGTTTTATTTTGAGATGTCTTCTTCAAGATCTAGTCGAAGTGGAGATTCGGGTTGGAAATATGGATATAACGCGAGTCCAAATGAAAAAAATTGCATTAGATATAATTTTTGTGAAAAAGATGCGAAAGGGGGCATAAATCGATTTAAGAAACATCTTGTCAGTGTTAAAGGGGATGTTGCCCCTTGTAAAAATGTTCTTGAAGCTTTCAAAGAGGAGATTAAGCAATATATGAGTTTTGTAAAACAAAAACAGGAACAAAATCTTTGTCATTTGAATATATCTATTTCTGCTACTTCTAGAAGAAGTGATCCAGGTTGGAAGTATGGTTATATCCCAAAACCAAACGATAAAAATTATATAAGGTGTAATTTTTGTGACAAGGATACCAATGAGGTATTAACCGATTTAAGAAACACTTTGCTGGTATTAAAGGGAATGTTGCATCTTGTAAAAAAGTTCCTGAAGCTATTCGCGATGAGATTAAATTTATGAATTTAAAAGAACCATAAAATGATGAAAATGAGCTTTGTTCTATGAAAATATCTTCTCCAGGTTCTTCCAGAAGTGGTGATCCGGGTTGGAAGTATGGTTGTAACCCGAATCCGAATGACAAAAATCGTATTAAATGTAATTATTGTGGAAATGATACTAATGGGGGCATTTACCGGTTTAAAAAACATCTTGACAATATTAAGGGGGACGTTGCCCTTGTAAAAATGTTCTTGAGGCTATCAAGGAGGAAATTATATAATATTTGAGTAGAGCAGCCCTGACTCCTAGGGTTTCATCTGCACATACTAGTACGAGGGAGGTAGAAGAAGAGGAAGAAGAGGCAGATTCATAAGAAACAGAGGAGGACAAGTGTTATATTGAAGAAGGAGATGACTCTGATGATGATGACCTCCATTTTGATGCATATGATGAAGCTTACCCATTCCTTCTGATGATGATGATGCTGATGACTGAAGACTCTTGGTGTTGAGTATTGATTGTTGACTGTTGACTATTGTGTCCTAGACTACATATTTTTTTAATTTCTGTACATTTTCTTTTCTTATTTTTAGTTTTTAGTTCTACTTTCAAGTTTCTAGGTTTACTATCTAACTTTTGTGTATACAGTCTACAGTGTATCAGACTATCAGTGTATGCTTGTATGGTTTTACTGTTTTAGCATTGTATGAAAATATAGATTATGGTCTTATGGATTATCAAAATTCTCTTCTCGACTTCTATATATATATATATTTTAAACTGGGATTATGGTCTTATGGATTATCAAAATTCTTATGGATTAATCATTATCAGTCATCAATTTTGTTTTGTTTTTTTTCAACTGGGCGGCTCAGGTTCTAGGCACTCGCCTAGGCGGCCGCTTAGGCTCTGGGCAGCCTGGACCCTATCGCCGCTTGGGTGTCACCTAGCGCTTTTTGAAACTATGTTTATACCTGTGATCTAATGAGTAATTATTACTTTAACTGCTTGAATCCTCTTGAACTTTATATTTAATTTTGCCTGTTGATATTACATTTGATAGATGGCCAGCCTCATCTAGCATCTGGGGGTTCATCTGGTGTGATAAGCATATGGAATCTTGAAAAAAGAAGGCTTCGTTCAGTCATAAAAGATGCCCATGAGAGCTCAATAGTATCACTTTATCTCTTTGCCAATGAGCCTGTCCTCATGAGTTCTTCTAGTGACAATTCTATAAAAGTAAGGTCCTTATTTGTATTTGTCTTGAGTAGCTGATAGTTATATTTAGATCTGTAACTTTCATTTGTTACTAAACTCTATGTAGCTTGTATTTGGAACAATTCACTTTTTTCCCTATTAACAGATGTAGATATTTGATACAAGTGATGAGGAAGCACGTCTTCTATGTTTTCAAAGTGGCCATGGTGCTTCTTTGCATAAGGTGAACTGACATGTTTCTATGCTTCGTATATCATGCTAAAAGGGTACTTAATAACTTTTTGTTCCTGCTTCCAACAATTCCTAAACTTACCTGAAAGAGAAAAGAAGAAACAAAAACAATTCCCAATCAATTGTGCGAAGGCAATGCTAGGGAATCGTCCCAACTCATGGGCCCACTTTTATTCTTGTTGTTCAATACCCTGGGCTATCCATCACATCAAGTTGCAAAGCGGACCCTAGATATGAAAAAATTATTAAACATATATATTGTGAGCTATATCTTTCTAATATATAATTGACATATATATTATGTATGTATGTATACTGGTTTGGGTCGGCCTCGGTTGAATTGGGCCAACCAGACTCGGCCCGACCCGATGCCTAGGGAATCATATGTCCCATGTATCTGTCATTTAGACCATAGATGCATGGGTAATAGGACGGTTGTGGCTCTTTTCCTACCATTGACTTTTCGGTTTTTTGTTTCAGAGCCACAGTAGTGTTCTGATGTATAGAATTTTTTTTCTGGTTATCCCAATTCAATACTGGAAATAGGGAGGCATGGAGGAGAATAGTGCCATTATCTATGGCCTTTGGGTGCTGCTGATACTTTGACTCCCTTCTGATCCCTGCGGCAGTTAGGTTCTGATTGGCAGGTTTTAGTAACATTGTAAAATGTGGTCTTTCTTTTAGTTGATGTTTGGTGAACAAATAACTGCAACTCAATTTACTGCAACTCAATTTGCAAGAGTCTTTGCTCAAAGACACATACTAGTGTTTGCTTTTGTAATTCATAGGCTCAAAGATAATTATGTTCAGGATTTAGTTGGATGGCTGCAGGGGTATTTGGTCAGAGCCTTGTAATTCGTTTTTGTACAAACTGCCCTTATTTGTATAGGGGTCATAAACTTGTAAAACTTAATTAAAAGTCAACTCTGCTAAAAATTTAAAAAGGATTATATTGGATACCTTACCTGAAACGAAAAAATTCAAGATTATGTTGGAATATTTTTAAAAGGAAAGTTAATCATTCCTTATGAGTACTGAGTCACTTTGAAACTTAATTTGATGTTGCTAAATTGGCTTTATAATTATCTTTTTTTGTTTTTTTCCCCACAGTTGTATGTTTGGCTCTTTCAAAGGTGTTTCCTTTTCTGCATGAGTGTTTTGGGTTGCCATATAACTATTTAGATATAGGAAGGCTCATTTATTCTCGAATGCTGGCATTTTATATTCGTTTTTCTTTTATAAATAATTTCAAAATAAATGGGGTAACTATTATGGACTGAGTTAGTGGGCTCTAGGGTTGGTGCTGTTAGAGTGTTCTGGTTGTACATTCTTTTGCTGAAGGTTGGATTGATTTGCTGCAGTTGCTTTGGGCATTGTTTGAAATTGTGGGCAGTGGAAGCATCTTTGCTAAATCCGAGTGAATTATTGATTCCCAGGAGGGCCTGTAATTAAATTTCTGTTCTGGTTTTGTTTGTAAAATGCTTCTCAATATTGATTTAGTTGTTTTACATTTTCTTCTACTGAAATAGATGAGTAAAAATAAAATTTTTTTTTTGAGGGGGGGAGACGTTTTTATGTTTTATGGCAATGGTCGGCACTTGTTATCTGCGGGGCAGCACCATGCTTTCCGATTTTTCTCCATTGCGCAGGTGCCAAATTCTCTCTGTGTCAAAAACATAAATTAACACATGCAAATGAGTTAGCGTGCTCAATGTGCATCAATTGCAGGCCTAAGATGTTTATTTGGTTGCCAATCCATCTTTGACTCTTCTAGCACGATTTACTTGAGATCATGATGTCAACTATTCCTGGTTATTTATTAATATGCATCAACATTTATCTGCTGACATGCTTGTTTGCACTTGTTAAACATAAATTTAGAGTATTGATAGTACAATGTTACTTAACTATGCTTATCTTATTAACTAGAGCTCAATAAGGCCCCATTTGGGAGAAATGTTGCCAATTTCCCTCCACCTACTAGGAATGAAAGGCTGTTCAGCTTATCCCTCTTTGCCATTACAAGTAAGCACCCTTTTGTAACCTCGGTCATGAACGAAACCCCACCAAAAAGCTCTGAACTCTGGAAAAAAATGGTTTTCACATATTTCTAAAGAACTCACTTCCTTAGCGATGTTGTTTGGCCGTGCAAACAGGACATAAGAAACTCAACTATGTGGACATACTCTCCAGGCTGTTATCTGTATGAATTTGTGTTTAAGTATGGGGATCCATTGCAATGGCTTTTAAGGAGCTGAACTCTGTTTTACTTCGTAACATGCATTCTTAACTTTGGAGTATTGATGGGATCAGAGGTATAGGGCTTATTGTTCACTCACCTGTGCCATTGTAAGAACATGGGGTGAAAATGCTGCAATGAAGTCTTAACAGGCAGAGTGCCAAAAACAATGAAGGTGCAAAGCTGCTGATGACAGGCACAGTGTTGATAAGAATTGTGCTACATCTGAACATGTTTGTGTAAGCCAACTGTTTCATTACAGCCCAAGAAATCAATAATTTCGTCAAATTGTATTTACTTTGCATATTTCTTTTAATATTCGAATAATATGTTTGATGCCAATTTGTAATAGTTTGAACCTTAATGGGTATCGGAATGCATCTTGTTTGAGTAGGATCACCAAAGTAGAGTGCTGTCCCAGCGCCATGTGTCTAAGAGAGCCAAGAGGCTTAAATTGAAGTTATGGATTTGGGGGGATTTCTCCTTATGAATTTTGTTCCTAGTTTTGTGTGTACACTTGTTCTTTATTGAATAGACATGCTGTTTCTTTCATTTTGGTGAGATTTATAAAGGATATTTTGTTTGCTCAGATGCACTTATTTCATTCTTTTTCAGGAAGAGGAGATCAAGTTAAATCCTGTAATATCATTTGATTTTGGTATGCTCTCCCTATCAATTGATTTCAAATCTATTACAATAAACACATTCTTACTGTTCTGTAGTAATAATATGGTCATATAATGTTCTTTGCAATGAAATACTGATTTCTTCAGCTTTCTGCATTTTGGGTGTATGTCGTACATGCAAGAGATTTTTCCATTTGGAGTGTAGTTTATTGTGAAACCTTTATATATTTGATTGGTTGCATTCTTAGGATCGATGCATAGCTCTTGACAGATGCGGCCTGCTTGGCTGTACCTGTTATCACCAATAATTCATTATTTCAATTAAATTAATCTCAACAGTGAATTAACTGTTGTTTGATGGTGTCAATCATAAAATAATTTGAGATGAACTTTGAGGCAGTTATATATATACGTTTATCTTTTTGAAAAACTGTTTTTACTTTATTCAAAGTAATTTGCTGGAAATTACATATATTTGCCTATAAGTTGCTAAAAATCGTTGGAAATTGCGGAAAAAGTAATAATATTATAAATAATACAACAAAAGTATCAATCAACTAACAAAATAACGTTATCTAGAGCATTGTTATCAAAAATTGGTTTGTACCACCTAGACCGTCAGTTGGACCGCTGACCGATGCCTTGGCTGGTCGTGTTTCAAAAAGCGCTAGGTGGCACCCAGGCGGCCAAAACTTGGCGGCCCAATTGAAAAAAAATAAAAAAACAGATTATTGATAATGATTAGTCCATAAGAATTTTGATAATCCATAAGATCATAATCCATAAGAATTTTGATAATCCATAAGACCATATTCCCAATTAAAAAAAAAAAATAGAAGTTCAGAAGTTCAGAAGAGAATTTTGATAATCCATAAGACCATAATCCATATTTTCTTAGAATGCTAAAACAGTAAAATCACACAAGCATACACTGATAGTCTGATACATTGTAGACTGCACATACAAAAGTTAGATAGTAGAACTAGAAACTAGAAACTAGAAAGTAAAAACTATAAATAAGAAAAAAAAATATACAGAAATTCAAAAAATATACAGTCTAGGACACAATAGTCAACACTCAATACAACAGTGAATAGTCAACACTCTCAACACAACAGTCAATAGTCAACACTCAACACCAAGAGTCTTCAGTCATCATCATCATTATCGTCATCAGAAGGAATAGGGAAGGTTTCATCATATGTATCAGGTTCGAGGCCATCATCATCAAAGTCATCTCCCTCTTCAATATAATGCTCGTCCTTCTCGTTTCTTCTGAATCTGCTTCTTCCTCTTCCTCTTCTTCTACTTTCCTCTTACTAGTATATGCAGATGAGGCCTTAGGAGTCTTGGTTGCTCTACTCTTTTCTATCTTTTTATGCTTCCCTGAACTCAAATATTGTATAATTTCCTCTCTGGTAGCTTTAGGAATATTTTTACACGGGGCAACATCCCCCTTAATATCGGCAAGGTGCTTTTTAAACCGGTAAATGCCCCCATTAGTATCATTTTCACAATAATTATATTTAATACGATTTTTGCAATTCGGATTCGGGTTATAACCCTACTTTTAACTCAGATCACCATTTCTAGAAGAACCTGGAGAAGATATTTCCATAGAACAAGGTTCATTTTCATCATTTTTTGGTTCTTTTAAATTCAGAAGTTGTCTAATATCCTCTCAAATAGCTTCAGGAACCTGTTTACAAGAAGCAACATTTCCTTTAATACCAACAAGGTATTTCTTGAATCGGTTAATACCCCTATTGGTATATTTTTCACAAAAATTACACCTTATACAATTTTTATCGTTTGGTTTTAGGTTAGAACAATACTTCCAACTCGGATCACTTCTTCTAGAAGTAGCAAAAATAAATCTATTCAAATGACAAGGATTTTGTTCCTTTTTTTGTTTTTACAAAACTCATAAATTGCTTAATCTCCTCTCTAATAACTTCAGGAATATTTTTACAAGGCGCAACATCCTCCTTAATACCGACAAGATGTTTCTTAAACCGGTTTATACTCCATTTTGTATCTTTTTCACAAAAATTGCATCCAATGCAATTTTTGTCATTTGGAATCAGGTTATAGCCATATTTTCAACCCAGATGTCCACTTTAACTAGAACCTGAAGAAGACATCTCAAAATAAAACAAACAATCTAAAAAATAAAGTTTTGCACTTACTTTGATTGCTTGAACTCCAAACTCCCACCTTTGAGATGTTTTCTGGTGCTAAAATAATAAAAAACACCAACTAATAGGATTATAAAACTCCAAAACTAAATGAAATCTACCTGGGTGATTGGATCTGTTTTCCGTAACTTTGAGAAACACTTCGATCCAATGGAAGTCATAAAATTTAGTTTTCTTGAGGTTTCTTTCTCTCTAAAAATGAACCTAAAACCCATTCGTAGAACCTTTTATGTTTAAAAAAAAATCAATACAATGAAAAAATAAATAAATTTCCGCCCCTAGGTGGGGCACAGGCCTTGGGCGGCAGGGCTGGGTGTTGGGCGCCTGCCTAGGCAGGTTTCGTACCCTAGGCGGCTGCCCAGGGACTGCCGCTCAGTTTGGCCGCCTAGCCCTGGGCAATGCTCCCAGGCCTACTGGACCGCCTAGGCATTGGGCAATCCGCTTTTTCGAACAATGGTAGATCCGCTCTCAAGCAAACACTTGGTTTGGTCGAAAATTGGTCAAAATTAGTATTTTATTGGTTAGATTGTCTGGTTTAACCAGTTCGACTGGCTAAACAAAGTTAGAGATTTTTTTTCATATTTTAAATTAGTATTCTGATTTTTCTTATATTATTTTAAAATCTTGTCCAACTGGTTCAAGCGATGGTTGAACCGGTTTTGATTGGATCTGACCCCTCACTGGTTCGTTGATCGGTACGATCTTGATAACTTGGGTTTTCAAAAATGCTGATCTAGATTGGGAATCAATAGGACTGGTCTAGTTTCCACCATATATTGGTAATCAGCTGATCTAGCTCACCTTTTATTTTTTATTGTTTTTTATTATTTTTCAATTTTTTTTTTTGTCCTAAATTTTTTATTTTTCATTGGCTGATTCACTAAGCCTGATCGTCAATTTGAACCGTTGATCTCCAGTCGAGACTGGTTTTTTGGATGGGTGATCTGAGACACCGATCCATTCTTTTTAAACTCTGCTTATAACTATGATCAATAATATATAATTTTAAATAAGATAGTTTAATAAAATTAATTGTCATCCAAACAGGCCCATGATTTAGAACCTGATCCACATTTTAGGGATATATTCAATTGGGCTGACTATGGGCTGAGTTGCCCCTTGAGCTTCCGGGCTGGGCTTGCTGTTCGTGCCGAATTCGAGCCAAAATTTAAGGTCCTCATGTTGAGCTGGGGCTGAACTACTATGAAATTTCTTTTCGATGAAATTTTCTTCATTCTCTCTCTCTCTCAAATTAACTTCTCTCTATCTCTTCCCAATTCAATTTCTCATTTATTATTTCTCTCTGTAACATCCGGATCTGAAGCCTCTTCTGCTGATCTTCACTGCTTCTAGTTTCTACTGCAAAAATCAGAGGAAGCAATGAATTTGGAGATAGACTAAGACTGTTTTTTTAATAGCGTTTTGGGTGTGACAGGTAGAGAGAGAGAGAGAGAGAGCTTTGGGTTTCTCTAACCTCGTCAGCTTCAATCTAAACAACGTATGGTGCTCCTTGCCAAGTAGGAAGGGTGGGGCTCGTTAAGAGTAACTTGGAAGGGCAGAGCTGGTTAAGAGCTTGATTCCCCATATTATGGTGGTGGGAAAAGCCTGGTTCAATCATTAATAACCACATCTTGGAAAAGGCAGTGTTTGTAGCTCCAGTGCTTCATGGGTTGGATGATGACCGACAATTGGTGCTGGAACCAACAAAAATGCTAAATTTGTAAGTGAAATCTTACTCTGGCAATTTCCCCAAATTTAATATCTCATTTGTCCTTTTTGAGTACAAGTTTTAGCAATTAACCAAAAGTCCAAAAGTAATGTCATCTCAAATTACTGATTCATAAGCTTCAAGGGGAAAAGGAAGGAAAAACGTACAATGAGAGCTGCAACTGCTAAACTGAAATTTCAAAGGAAGCATCTAGCTTTCTCGATTTCCCAAATCAGGTACCAGGAATCCAAAGGAAGGCAGTTTGGTTCCCCAACAATCAAGATATGCCCTGCTTTCTAATTCAACTGTTCTTTCTTTTGTCTAATCTGCTTTCTTTTTCTCTCTTCCTCACCCCTCCCAACCCCACTGAGGAATCTCTCAGTCTTCTAATCTCTCTTCCTCCATCCTTTTAACTGCACTCCTCAACTGCCCTGTTTTCCCTCTCTCCTGTTGTCTCTCTTCCATTCTTCCTGCATTGTCTATCTTCCAATCTCTCCTTTCCTCAAACCTTTTAACCCCATCCCCTGCTGCCCTACTTTCTCCCTCTCCCGTTCTCTATCATTCATTGGACCTTTTCTCTCTCTTCAAATATCTCTCTTTCTCCATCTTTTTAACCCTACTTTAGTGCATGCTTTTGCTCTCTCCTGTTCTCTCTTCCTCCATCCTTCAACCCCACTTCCATCCGTTAGTTCGCCATCCTTTCTTCTGAGGAATAATTTTAGAGCATCAGAATAGTTCTATATGTTCCTTTATAGTACCACAGAGGCGAGAGGAAGAGGGTAGAGCTAGAGGAGATCTATAGAAGGTGATGGAAGTTGCGGTATGAGATGTCCTTTTCTGGGTTATAAAAAATTAAGGTCAGGCCGGCTGGGTCTGGCATGGTCTTTCTCATAGGCATTCAGGCCACACCTGTGCCCATCTCAAAAAAATAATTTTGGGCTTGAGCTGGGGCTGAGCCCCTGCCAGCCTTAAAAAAATTGTCCAAGGCTCGAGCAGGGCAAAGCCCTTCCCCCAGCCTGGCCCATGACATCCCTAATGTCCAATCTTATCCCTGATTTATTTAAAGAAGATGCCTGTGTGTGGTTTTGTTGCAGAGAGCTCAAAGGCTTCGTACAAGTTAAATGTATATTACATGTAATGTCATGTAGCTTCATGATTTCATGGATTTCACTGTATGCATTTGAAATTTTCAATAGCATTTGAAAATGATCTTCAGAATTCCATACATCCAAATTTTTAAGTTCTTTCTGTGAACCTCAATGTATAATTCAGAATGGTTGTTCCTTTGCAACTATGTTTCCTGGACACCTGTATGTGCGTCATTGTCTAACACGGGTACGCGCGCTAGATTCCTCATGCCATGAATATGATAAGTCAGCAACACAGCTATGAATGGAGAACTAAACCCAAATATGTTTTACTAATAAACCATCTCATGATGAGCAGCAATAAATTATCAATCACACCTTAATTGACTGAATCCGTGGATGTTTCTGAAGTTCCACAAACATTTTCCACTTTTACATGGTCTACTCAAGACAACAAACAAGATCAAGTCTCTAAAATGATGTAATCGATATCTTATAAACAAGAAGAAGGATACGTCCATGTGTGTTGATATATGTCTGACATGGTTATGTCACCCAAACAAGAGAATTCATTTAACGATTTAGTTTTGAGGTTTTGAATTATGAGAGAATGGGGTCAGGACATAGTGTTGGAAATGCCTGGGAACTCGAATCGTTTTAAGAACCGGAATCGCGGAATCATGGCCGGCTAGAAGATTCATGTCTAAAGAATCGTTGTCCATACAATAGGAATCGCTAGGAACGAGTTTTGTTAGTTTTTGAGAATCGTGTTTCGACTTAAATAGATCCAAGTTTCATCCACATATGGAATCGAGATTCTGCCCTCCTCGGAATTGAGATTCCCATACCCCTGGAATCGACACTCCAGGAGTCAAGATTCATTAATATGCAGAATCGAGTTTCCGACATCTATGGAATCGAGTTTTGACATATGTGGAACAGAGATATGTTGTTGTTTCCAATCGTGATTTTAACATATTTGGAATCAAGTTTCTGAAGTAAATAGATCAGTGATCCATGCTAGTTTGAAATCGAGATTTACAATAATATGGACTATGGAATGCATTTGACGACCCTTGCCAAGAATCGAGATTTCATTTTTATGGAGAAGGAAGCCATATGCACATCTTGAGCTTCATCAACTTTAGAACCCATATTGGATGTCTCTTATTAGAAGATTTCCCAAATTTTAAAGTGATTGTGTTGACTATTGAACTTACGGCGATTATATACAAAAGACAAGTAGTTCTAAATTGTGATTTTGACTTCATTATTATAAAGATAAAGTGGGATTATATCTACGCCATGGTTTTACTTTTAATTGTATGTCTTGTATGTACCAGTTATATTTTAAATTTAAAGTAAAAGGCATGCAGGGTCGCACAAGTAAAATAATGAAACCCTACAACCACTAGAAGTATTAGAAGGAAATCTACTCCTATTGACGTGGAATCAAGATTTAATCCTTGTTGGAATCCAGATTCGATATATTTGGGAACGTCTACCCACAATTAATGGGTTCAAGTTTTTAAAGATGTGTTGGATCGAGATTTCAAATTAAAGAACCGAGTTTCCTTGGTTTTGATAAATAGTTTTGACAGATGTGTTGAATCGAGATGCCAAAATTAAGGAATCGAGTTTCTTTGGTTCCGAAAAATGGTTTCTAAAGATGTGTCGAATTGAGATTCAAAAATTTAGGAATCAAGTTTCCTTGGTTCCGAAAAACGGTTTTCGAGGAGATTCCTTAACAGAAATGCAGAATCGGATTTCGGAACCGGAAATACGAGGTCGGTGGAAAGATTCCGGTTACTATGGGTTAGAGTAAGTTATTCGGTTTATGTTCTCTAACAAGGTGTGACGGGAAAAGGTTCATGATAGGATGGAACAGGGTTGGAGTTTTGAAGGCTTAAAGAATATATGGTACAAAACCGTTAACCTGGAAGTGAGACTTTTTTTGCTAGTCTCTAGTTGTGAAGTTTATTTGTGACGTCTCGTCTATGGGAATGAGAAGAGAGTGGGTTATTTCTTGTAAGACAAAAATGTAAGGTGTGAAGGTTTCATGTGTGAGGCAGCCTAGTTTGCACCATAACTGCAGTAGATTCTTGATATTACATTGTCATATGAAATGAAAATGGAGAAGGGCGTGACACATTTTCTAAGGTCAACGTATTTTCTTTTTTTGGCATGTTCTGAAATCTGCAGCGTCACTTATAAAGTGTCCCAGATATAGTTTAGTTTCATACATGCATTTCTTTTCCTCTCTCTCTCTATATTTCTCACACACACATACAATTATGTTGGGACTTGGTTTTGTCTGTCGTTTTCTTGGGGCATTTTTTTTCTTTAACATGCTGATTGAGATGCAAACTATTTTATTCAATTTGATGACTTGGTTATGTTTGTTGTCCAATGCAAAATAAAGCTGAAATCCGTCAATGTGATTGGTGTAACATCGTAACCTGTCATATGGATACACAGAAGCAAAAGTGTGGTGCCTTCATAACTATGTGCTAGGAGAACATATATTGAAACCAATGGTTTAAAAAACGGATCGGTGATCCGGATCGGGCTTCCAAAAAACCGATTCGGATCGGCGAATCGGCGATTCA